GGAGGTTCGAGTTACTAGCCCCGAGTGAAGCCTAAACCTCCTATTGTAGATGTTGTCTGTATAAAGCGTGGTCGAGAGAAGTCAACGTCCTGACTGGAGGCGTGCTATTTATAGTGCATTCGCCACGGCCTCGGGCGTTGCTGGGTGATTCCTGTTGCCACATGACACGTTGGATGGCCACATTGCGTGTAATCATGGCTACTTGCTCTTAAAGACAGCTCTAGAGGTTGAGTGCATAAGAGGGAAGAAGCTTCAGATACTTTGCTAACTCGTCAAAGCGCGGGTAGAAGTCCAAACCTACATGTTTGAGTCACAGCGACCTTTTCTGCACATACTCCGTCGGAGAAAAACACTACTTCTTATGTTCGTACGTCTTTGGGAGACTGCAAGACTAGTTTAACCGAACGGATGCAACCGCTGCTATAAAGTACCCTCGAGAATGGTGAAGCTTTAGAAGCGTAGGGACTATGCTTTGTTCTCCTCGCAAGGGAAACCTGGTGGTATACCAGGAAGGCGACCTGCCTTCTTTGAGCTGCCATTATCGCGGGCAGTACCTCACTCTTCACTTTGCGGTGCTCCATGTACCATAGCAGGTGAGATGTCCCGGCTGTCCTAATCACTTGAACAAACAAATGGAAGTCAAAAGCTCAACAGCATGCAGGACAGCTCCATTGTTGAATATTGCTGATTATTGTTACCAGCAAGCAGCAGCGGAAGAGTGACATGCTGTCCTTTTCTCCCACCCGAAAGCACAGGACCGCCGAAGACGAGCCAAACAGTGTACCTTGCGTATGTTAGTTTAGAGGGGCCTCTGAAGCTGACCTGCAATGATCACCACTAACAAGGAAGAGCGGAGAAAAAATAGGAAACAGACTTGACGATAGGAAAGAACCGCCCGCTGATCAGCGGGACTCCGCCTGTCACGTTCGCCATTACGCCCGCGCGAAGGAGTGAGTAGTGCACCAGCTCGATCGGGACGTTCTTAAGAAATCCCTGAAAGCGAGAGAAGCCTCGTCCGCGGAAACCCAAGGGGAACGCTTGATGGTTGGATGCATTCTTCTGACAATAAACGCTACTCAAGGGTGTGTCGGAACTGCATCATCGGGCCTGTCGCTATCTTCTTGTGGTAAATGGATAAGGCGCGTACCGGGAACATAGACTTGAGAGTCGCTGAATTCTTGTGGTTAATGGATAAGGCGTGCACCGGGAACATGCACTTGAGATGCTCATCCGGTGCATCGAATGCAATTGATGTGTGTAAGCATCAATGCAATACGAGTGGTATCACCAACAAATGCCACCGCATATACGGATACTCCTTCGATCGTGTAGCATGGCTCCGGGTGTGATTTCTGTACGAGAAACAAGAAGCGCTACGCGCGAGGAAAGTGAAGGTAATGGATGTCTGGGGAGCCACAATAAGTGTTATTCTCGTAAACCACTCCGCACCACTGCGCGACGGCACACAATCGAATCAAGCAAGAGAACGAGAGAGGAGAATCTCATTTTGTTCATATCCGCTTCCGCGTATCTAGGCCCCGTGTCCGATCTTCAGCCACACTCTCGACCTCTGCCCCTTCCACTTACCCACCCACTCACTCACTCAACACCTCCACCTCGGCCCCTCCCACCCCACCCCTTACTCCACAAATTCAAAAAACAATCCCCCCGGCACGCCATTGACGCCCCACATCATGCCCGCCACCAACTCCCCCTCGCCGGCCTCCCACGCCGCCCGCACCCCGCAGATGTGCGCGTTCCAGACGACGCGCGTGCGCTCCAGCTCCCACGCCAAGCCAAGCGGTCTGAGATCGACCTTGACCTCGCCGTCGTCGTCATCAGACTCCTGCGGCTGTCGTGGTGGGAGCAGCGACAGGCAGGTGCGGAAGTAGCGTTGGGCGAGGCGGAGGCCGTCGTCGGGATGACGACTGCCATCGTCGTCGTCAACGTCGTCAACGTCGTCGTCGTCGTCGTCGCCGCGGGGGAGGTGATAGGCGGCGAGGCCGGCGAGGAAGGGGTAGATGGCGGCTGTGGCCGTGTTGGGTCGGGGACTACGGTTACGAGGGTGGGTGTCAGTGGTGGTGTTGAGGCGGCCGCCGCGTCTACATTGCAGGTGGTCCTCTGGGTGGTGGTGGTGACGAGTCGCCTGAGCCTCGTGATGCTGATGGTGCCTGACGAGCGCGGCCATGGTACGCTCGACCAGAGAGGCGTCAGTGCGCAGGTCTGTTGTTGTTGTTGCTACGGGTGGTGGAGGAGAGCGGAGTGTTGTTGATGCTGCAGTTGATCCTGTCGCTGATCCCGCAGTTGTTGCTGATCCTCTTCCACCTGCCGCACGGCTGCTCGGTTGATTCCGCAACCGAGGCCATGGCCCCGGAAGTGGGCTGTGTGGTGAAGTGGATGACGTCCAAGCCGCGGCTGCTGACGCAGATACCGGGTTAGGTAATAGATCTGTCGATGTGGGTTCCGGCGTCAGCATAGGGTTTTGGGGTGTTGTCATCATCACGAAGGAGCCGTTAATCAGCGGTGCTGGCTTGCTCACGCACTCACTCAGAGTAGACTGGGGTGAGTGAGAAAGGAACGTACGCGGCCCATCAAGATCGGTCGCTTGGACCATGTTGACCCCCGCTTTCTCCACGGCCTTTTGGAAGGCTTCGAGTGCTAGGTAATATTCGCCCAAGTGCATGCGCAAGATGCCTAAGTTGGCCCATACTGCGGCGTGATTGAAACCAGGAGTGCTCCGAGAGCGCCGGAGCAGGCGTTGGATATGGATGATGGCCTCGGACCAGTCATAGTTCCTGAAAAGCAGGGTCGCATGTTGCCAAATATCCTTGGCTTCCTGGACGTTGAGCGTAGTTTGATTGGTCCTCGACGCGGTTGGAAAGGACGTGCTGGAGCCACGCACAGTTGGTCCTTTGCGTGAAGTTGCCGATTCCTGCAAGTTCATGCGCTGCTCTGTTTGCTATACTCGGTCGAAGTTCGCGCCTATGTTGCACCTTGGTTCTACTATGATGGTGATGATGATGATGGGAGCAGCACCTAGCCCATATGAGCTGTGGTCTTAAATACAGCGGACATGCGGTCGTGTTCGTATAGCTCCTGACCGAAGGAGTCCATCGCAGCCCATACACATGATGTCGCGCAGGCGACATCGGCGGAGGTAACAGTGGCACGCGTTGTGAGTCGCGAGCACTAACAGACTGCTGACGGGCTTCTGAGCCTCGGTCACTTGTCAGCCTGTTCCTTCCTGATGACTGCCATCACCTCGTATGGGACGAGTCCACAATCTTCAACGATCTCGGCGTTGGTGAAACCAGGCACTCGGAAGGCGCATTGGAAATCAGCCCAGTCAGCTTTCGGGCCTAGGAATACGGCGAGCTCAAGGCGTGCTTGGCCAAAGGTCTCGAAATATCTTTCAACAAGCGCCGGCACGCGCGGGTAAACAAAGACCCAAACGGAAGCATCCCGTGCTCTGGGACACAAGTCCCACGTGCCGCCCACGACGAAAGAAGACTCTTCTGGAAGATATTTGTTGACGGATGAATTGACTTCAACGCCTTCAACGGTGCGAATTGGATCTCTGCTCCCAAGGATTGCTTCGAGCAGGCCGCTGCCGGCACCGATGGAGAGAACAGGCCCTTTGGACGGGGAAAGGATTTGACTGAGAGTCGAGAACAAGGAGTTGGAGAGACTCAAACAGCAGTCTGGGTGATGTGTTGGCACGTCGGACAGTGTTGGCAACATGATGACGGAGCGGGCGCCTGATGCGGGGAGAGGTGAAACTCTGCACGGAAGCTGCTTGCTCCTAACGGATTAATATGTAATGGAGCCCGCAATGTGGCCTGGGCGGGGTGTTGCAGTTGGATGTGCAGGTCAGGCGGTCAAGGCGAAAATAGACTGGCAAGGAGCAGCCCTGCACCGGGAAGCTGAGGATGCAGTGGTACGCTGAGGTTAGGTTGAGTTGCGGCCAAGCTCCCCAGGCGTCGGAAGAAAAATCCGCGACAGGCATGTCACGTGCCATCGTGTGAACAGGGAGACACCGTCGAGTCGGCCGAAGCATCACGATGGCGCAGAGGTGGTGGTGATGTTTGGCCGCCGATGGCGACGGGCCACAAGGACGAGCTGCTCTTCACGGACACGCCGCAGCCAGGGTGACTATTGTCAGCACTAAAATAGATATGCAGGAACCCTTCATTTGAGAGGACAGCTGGAGCAGTCGATAGCGCGCAGCCGCCAACGTCGAAGGGAGCCGAAGGCGCAGGCGAGCCCGCGGTCGTTTGCAGCAGTTCAGCCCAGGGCGTATCGTCATGAATAAGGTGGCTCGTCGACCGAGGCCGAGGCGGGCTGGAGTACCTAGGAGCTCTCTCGGCCGGGGCCATGGGCAGGCGCCGAAAAGGGAAAGCAGTTCGCGCGCGCGGACCAGGGGCCAACAGAGATTCGAGTGGATCGGGGTGGCGTGTGGGGTTCACGGGTGTTTTGGGATAAGGAGACGGCAGGTTCCCAGCGTCCCACACCGACTGGATGGCGACGCCGCGAGGGTGATTTGGATCGCGGGTGGCGCGTGTCACGCTGGGCTGCAGGCAGAGCCGCGGTGCAGCAGCGTGACAGCGCGGACATTGCGATGGAGGAGGGCGCGAGCATTGGCAGCGTCGAGGCGCGCCCGGCGCGCCGTGAATGGCCGTGGCAGCTCGGCGTGTTGGCGCGGAGCGGAAGGAAGGATCGCGGTCCTGGTCGTCCTGGTCGGCCCAGTGCGCACTTGAGCGTGCGGGCAGCGGCCGGCGCGCGCTGCTGCTGCGTCGCTGCGCCAGTGCTGCCGTGCTGCCGTGCTGCCGTGCGGGCGTGCGGCACGCCCAGGAGCCGGAGCCGTGTCGGAGGCGAAAACTTTTTCCTTTTTTTTTTCTGCGCTGCTGCTGCCAGCTGGGATGGAGCAAGCCGGCGGTGTTGAGGCGGCGGGCTGCGCGGGCTGGCACCTGGCGGGCTGCGGGCTCTGCGGGCTGCGCGGACTTGCCTCAGGCCCGAGCCAAAAATAGAGCGGAGGCTGAGCAGGGGCGATGGCCGACTCGGCTTGGCGCGAACCGTGAACAACGACTGCTGCCCGCTCCACTGTAAGCCCACACGCGCTCCTCCCCTCGGTCTGCTGGAATGCGAGAACGACTGGGCCGAGCCGGCGCGTGCGGGCTGCTGCGGGCTGCTGCGTGCTGCTGTTCCGTCCCGCGCCAGCCCCAGGGCCGCCAGGGCTCACCAAGCGCGCTCACGTCCGCACGCCGGCGTCGTTGCACCACCGCCTCGTCATGTTGGCTCACCCTGCGCCTATTTCGAGCAGGCCTCAGCCTTACTGCTGCCGCGATCCTGCCAGTTGCAGTTACTGCCGGCTGCGTACTTATGCGCCGTTGCCACCAGCGCCATGCTGCCGGATTCACATCTGTGTGACTCGCCTCCACCCTCGCTTCTCTGGTGATCGCTTCGTGCTAGCTCCATTCGGCCCTAAGCCTGCCTCCTCTGCAGCTTCGGTGCGAAGCGCGTCCATCCTGATCGCCGCCGGGGCTCACGCCCGCCCAAGATGCAACCCTGCTCCGCGTCCGCTCCCGCTTTGGCCTCGCCCGCCCATACCCAACCCCGTCTGGTGGCTCCGACGCCCGACTATATCAACTATACCGCCCACCTGCTGCTCGCCTCCTCCACCCTTCTCGCCCAGGTCGGCACATGTGCCGGCATGGACCAGTCCCGACCCAGCCAATCACACGAGAACACTGACTGGCACCGCTCGCTCGAGAACCCGCCCACTTCGCGCTGGGCCAACGTCCGCGTCACTGATTGGCAACGCGTCCGCCGTCCAAGCTCAGCCCCGTCCAGTGTCCCCGAATCAGACGACGAGAGAGGCCCGAGGAAGCTCAGCAGGCTGGAAGCACTACTGATACGCCGCCGGCCAGAAGAGAGCAGCGGCGTCCCGCCCCGCTCACTGTCGCCTTTCTCTTACCAGTCCACCCAGGAGTACACGTCGAACCCCGAATCCATCTCCGGACCGTCCACCATGCCTCCGGCCTCTCACTACCAGGAGCCGCGTCACCCGGAGCCGCTGAGGGTGCCCGCTCGCAGCAGTGGCCGCAATTACACCACACAGACGCCTTTACGCACCGTTTCCAGCGACTATCCCACCAGTCCAGAGTACTTCTACCCCATCTCCCCACTTGACCGCCCGCGTTCCTCATCCCACAACGGCGACCACCTCCGTTCGCCCCTTCGTGCAGCACGCACCTACTCCGGGGCCCCTTGGGACAGCTCGCCCAACCGCGTCGGCCAGGAGCAACGCAGGCCGAGCACCGCCTTCGAGAGCGACGCCGAACTCCACCGGTTCGCCGAGGCCACAAGCGGTTTCGATCCTTTCTCTCCTGTGCGCCAGCGGCCCCTGAGCCAAGCGCTCTACAGAGAATACTACGCTCCCCCGGAACAAGCACCTCAGCAGGCCATCTCCTACACTCGGCCGCTACCACAATACCCTTTTCGAGAACCAAGCTACTCTATAGACCAGAATCTCGCCGGCACACGCTCCCCTTCGGAGCTGGCCGCAGCATTAAGAGCGATGGAAGAAGCAGAGAATGACTACGGCATGCCGCCAGAGGACGAGGAGCTTCCCGACTACGCCCAGAGCCAATGGGAAGCACAGAGCCACCAACGCCGGGCAGCTGCGCGCAGAGCAGCTGAGCTGGAAAGACAGTGGATAGAGGCAAGGCAGAGAAGTGGTTCTCGATGATGCAATGGAGAATAAAAAGAAAATAAAAGCAAGAGGTGTGTGGTTATATCATGAGGATGATGATTTCGTTCAAGATTTTCCAGAGAGCAGTCAAGTTTGGTGGAATATTTTGGCACTCTGTCTTCCCTTCACTACTAGACCGGTCGCTACCTATCTCTCACGATTTTCCTTTGTACCATTCACCTCGTTTTGTAAAAGCGTTCTCAGCGATTGATACCCTCGCTTGCGGAAACCAAGATATTACTTCTTGGATGCATTCGTTTGCTTTGTGTTTCCACCCCTACTGTTATTTATTTATTTTTTTGCCGCCGTATATATAGCATCTTCTCGGTAGTACAGTACATATTCCCTTTTCCAATCGCAAGAACCGCTGGGCAGCTCAAGTGCTGCTCGCCACCCGCCACCGCCCGAAAGCCAGCTTCGCAGTGAGCACACCCGCACTGAGACATCAAAGTCTAGGTTTTGCCCGGCCGCAGGAACCCCCCACACGGTTAAGCAGTAGCCGCGGCCTGAGCCATGCAGCTCGGCCGGAGCGAGGGTAAAGGCACATGGGTCGACGCCGAGGCAATTGCAGCGAGGCTCGCATGACATCAGTAGACGGCTAAAGCGCGTGCGCGATTAGGGTACGGGAGGATGGGGCTTTCGGTTACACAGGTCAGAACGGGGGTGAAGGATCCACCAATGCACCCCATTGGCTTGATCCAAAAATAACCATCCCACCGACAACCGGGCAGCATGCATGCATGTGGATCTTGAGAGAGAGAGGGAACGTGGCCTGGCGTCACCGCATATGTCGTTTTCCCTTCTGCGATAAGCTTAGAGGAAGGGTGATCCCATGCACGTCGGGCCCATCTTTCCTAATCTCACGTTCCTTTCGCAGCCACGAGAATCTGGAGGCGCGGTCCGTTTGGGTCACAAGTGGGAGGAGAGGCGGATCCCCATGGCGATCTTCCTGCGCAGAGGAAAAACCCAATGGCACCCAACAAACGCACGCCCCTGCACTGCAGAAATGCCACAAACGTGGAGGCGCCTGCATGGAACAAATCTCATCTTGATGGCCGAACAGCACCCTGGTCAGTCTGTACGTCTGTCTCCGCCCAACACCCGCCGGCGCGAGGACCATCGTCCCGGCGCAGAGCCCAGAAATTAGTCCAAGCACACGCCGGCCCGCCGCGGCTGCTGCAACTGACCGGGGGGCACATCATCACACTTGCTCTCTCCGATCAAACCCCCTTCTCTCTCTCCCTCTCTCTCCCCCTGACCTACCTTTTGGACCCCAAATTCTCCGGTTAAGCGAATCTAACGTCGGGCGAAGGATTCGCGGCGCGCGCCCACGCGCGCTCTTTGTTTTATTTTTTCAGGTCCCCCCCTCCCCACCATCTGTGCACACGTCCATGGGTCATTGCTTTGCTCGCGCGCGCCGCGCACTGGACGGGGAAAAGGCAGGACAAAGCAAAACTCACCATGCATACGTAACCTTTCTTTGATTTCGTATTTCCTTCTGGGCAAATCTGATGCATCTCCTCGTTTCCTCTTTCCTCTTTCTGATCTTCTTTTCTCCTTTTTTGCCCTAAAAGATGCCGTCTTGGCTGCGGTGCTTCTATTGGCGCTCACCCTTTTCCCTATCGTCTTGCTGCATGCATTCACAATCCATGCCCTCCCCCAACCAAAGCATTCTGACCTCATGCTCTGTTCTGACGTGCACAAAACATAGCCTTCTTTCCTTCCTTCCTTCCTCTCCCCTCTTTCCTCACTCTCCAAATTGAGAGGCAGAGAACAACATAACGCACGCATCCATATCCGCAGCAATCTCCACATGCATATACGATGATGTTGGATCTGCCTCATTTTGCATTTGGAGCCGAAGTGATCGGCGCTCCGACGGGGCCGAACTCCCTACTACGTACGAGGCAGCCCCGAGCAAGCAAAGCAGCGCGCTACCGGCAAGCACGGAGCAAGCGTTTGAGGGGAATGCCGGGGAAAGGGGAGGGGGGGAGGAGGGAGGGGGAGAGAGAGAGAGAGGGGGACGCGCGCCCGCAACCGTGCTCCGGCCGGCTGGCTGCCGAGACAAAGCGATTTAGATTAGCGGGAAGAGACTAGACCGTAAGCCGGCTGGCCGAGCGGTGATGTGTATATGTATAGCGCATGCACGAGAGAAAGAGAGTGCGTACGTGAGAGGGAGAGAGAGGGAAAAAGGCGGGGCGAGGCCCGGCGCGGCGCCGTGGCGCCGCACGCACGCACGCGGCACAAGGGCTTGTCCATTCCTCCCGTTGGAGTGATTCGGACGGGGGTTGGGGTCAGTGTGGACGTTTCGGGTGCGAATGTTGGCACTCATTGTTGGTGGGGGAAGCAGAGGGGCTTGTGCGTCAAGCCAGCGCCGTTTCTCTTTTCTCATCACTCATGGCGTGTTTGAGGAGGAGCGGGTGGCGTGGCGGTAAGTTGCATATGCAATGCATGATGGTCGTCCATGCAAGTGCTGCATGGGAGGCTGGGAGTTGCGGTTTTTGTCAGTGTGATGAGTTGTTCGGTCATCAGACGGGTTTGAGCAACACTTGTTACTGAACTTGGAAGCGGAGCCCGTCAGTCTCAGTGGACTGAGAGCAGCGGGAAATGCTGCACGCTCGGCCGACTGACGTTCGCAGAGCGACGCTGCAGCTAACAGCTGGAGCTAGGGACGGTGCAACTGCCTAAGCTAACGGTAGCTCCGGGTTTACAGCCGTCGCCTGGATATAGAAGCATGGTCAGGTTGATGCTGTTGCTGGCCCGGAAGAGACAATCGACTCCCCACCCGATACTGATGGTCGAGAAATTTCTTCGCGCTAGCCTCCGGTGACGCCGGATCACCCAATGTAACCTCGGTGGTGATTGTGGAGAAGTGGGTGCCGAGACAAATTTGCAGGGAGCGGTTAGTATCCACGCCAGCCACCGGACGCAGAGCTCGTTAGAGGAGGTGCCATGGCCTTCTCACGATGCTGCAGAAGGTTGATGAGTGATGATGCACCTGTGGGTGCCGATGCTCGTGGAAATATCAGGAAGCTTGCATGGGATGAAACAAGACAGGCGGACGTTCTAGCCCAAGGTTGCCGAACAAAGAAAAGATCATTAACAAGACCAACCATTCAGGACTCCACACGGCGGCCCTGCCGCTGTTGGTGCGAGCCGGTTGGTCCAGTGAGGTACTTACAGAAATGTAACAACAAATCACCACCCACCTCATCTCTAAATATAGCCCCTCTCCGCTCACCGATTGTCGATCATCGCCGCCTTTGGGCTCACGAATTCTCCATCCCACGTGCGATACCGCTTCTTGCTGCTCGAGTTCCCGTCCGGTGCTGTGTCGGCATCTCCGCAGGCTGGGACAAGGTCGTATCGTTCACTCTCCTTCCTCTTTGTGCCGCGGCTGCGGTGCATTGCCTGATCAGAAAGCTCGGATATGTAGTGCAGACTTACCTTGCCATTTGTCAAGCATCCCCTTCGGTTGGCCTGCTGCCAGACATGCACGTCGCAAATTGGCAGCGTCCTCAAGTCATTCCCGGCCTGCATCTCGGTCCAGAACCGCCGCCGAAACCACCTGGCGACCCAGTCCATGGGCACGACCGAGGACGCCAGGCCGCCGTACCTGCCCTGCCGCCGCCTGTCGACCCAGTCGGCCGCCAGCAGCGTCACGGTCGGCGCCATGCGCGACGGGTGCCAGGGGTTGATTTCGCCACCAAGCGCCCACATCTCCCACGCCGTGCCCCAGTCCGAGGTGGGGGCGTCGGCCCCGAAGAAGGGCTCATCTGCGTTGTTCCGCTTCAGCAAGCCGAACGCGTGGCACATTTCGTGCGTTGCGGTGACAGCGAGGAAGAACGAGTAGCGCAACCATGCGTTCATGTCACAGGGCGGGTTGGCGCTCCCCTGGCAACTGACGGCCGTCACTGCAGCTGCGTGTCGCGCGTGCGTCTTGAAGTCGGCGTGTAGCTTGGTCTGCACCCTTCGGCGCTTGCGGTTCGCCTGCTGGTACCAGGAGTGGGCGTGGCGCACCCGCGGCGTGTTGCTCTCGTAGAGCTGCGAGCGGCCGCAGCTTACAAACCCGGGGAACACATCGAAGTCGAACTCGACGAAGTCAGCGAGGCTGACGAGGGCGTCCGAGACGGTGTCATAGTGTCCGTTGGTGTACTCGACGGTGACCTGCTCGAGGATCTTCTCGTTAGCGCGCGTGGGGTGGACAGTCTCGAAGCCGTAGGCGGCATTGACGAACCATTCAAGCATCGGGTCCGCGGTGATGAATAGCGAAGCTAGCCGGAGCGCGAGTTCCATGCCCGCGTACTCGCGGAGGCTCAGTGAGGGGAAGTTCGTCCGGCGAAAGAGCGGATGGATCGGGTTGTTGATGTTCGGGGTGGCTCCCTGGGACAGCTCGAATACTCCTGCAAGCTCGGGCTTGTTTTCTACTGCTTCTTCAAACAGCCTTTCAAGATCGATGTTCTCCATGTGAATCGAGGTATCGTTAGTTTTCAAAGGCATTATACAGTTTACTCACCTGACTGCCAGCAGTCACTCGACGGACTAGAAAAGAAATGAGAAGTAGAGACAAAACAATCGAGCGTGGAGTTGCCGGACGCGTGCCGAGCGAAAGTTCTTTATCTTATACAATGGGCGAAGGAGACAAGACAAAGCCTTGTGCCTCGAAATAGTCACTGGTTGAGAAGACAATAGGACGCTCCCCGGACCGAGCGAGAACAAAGCATTGCAGACGCCATCCGAGCGAGCTATTCCTAGCTGGTGCCTTATTCATTTGTTTATCTAGTTTAACGTCCCTCTGGAGTCGGCGGCTGTCCCGGCCCGCGGGTGTTTAGCTGGTGTCTTGAGTAGCGGTCATAATGCGATGCAGAGGCCCGGTGATGATGGCTGCGCGAGGGCGGAGGAAGCTGCAGTCTCACAGTGCGCGCGACGGAAACCGTGGGGATCGGGATGGAATTCATGGCGAGTGATGGTGATGGTGCATGTTTGGTGTGGGCGTGGCAGCACTTGGGCATGTTTAGCCGAGCGGGCAGCCGTGGGTCGTCGGGCGGCGGTCAACCAACGTCATCTGCCAGTCGAGTCCCCTCCACAAACAACCCCGAACCGCTCCGACATGAGATCCGCTCGAGACGCAAGGTAAGCAGACGCTCCGCCGAGCTCTTGCAGCTGTTTCTGACTCCCAACTTCGCGCAGAGCTTCCTGGGAACTGCTCGAACAGGCAAAGAGCCTCGCCGACCTGCGTGCCGCCGTTGGCCTTGGCTCCGCGCCCGCTACTCTCGTGGGCGGCCAGCGTTCCGCGTGCTGGAAGGTGAGTCTCCGCCGAGAAGAGCAACGTCCAAGGAAGAGACGTCGGAATAGGCTCTCTGCGCGCGCGCGAACCGCCGATCTGTCGCCGGCTCCGGGAATGCCCATGGCTAATAAGCTCGTACTCGCAGGCATTCCTCTTGTTCGAGAACGTCGACCACGCAGAATGGCCCTCCACCCTTGCCGAGTCGCGTTCCGTGTACGATTCCCTCCGCGCCCACTTCCTGCGCGCCATCGAGAACCCGGACGAGCTCGAATCCGCCCTGGACCCGCTCAGCGAGAACGATGAAGTACGTGCCCGCCCATACCACGCCGCTCGCGTCGCACCGCCGGGCCAGCGCATAGCAAACCCAAGTCTGACCTCTGACTAAGCCTTGAAAGTCCCCTTGGGTTGGTCTGCGCAAAGATGAAGCCCTGCGCGCCGAGATATTCCAAGATGTCGACCGCTGCATGCCCGACAACACCTACTTCCGCCACCCCGACACCCAGCGAATGCTGCTCGACATCCTGTTCATATTCTGCAAGCTGAATCCCGATGTAGGCTACAAGCAGGGTATGCACGAGGTGCTTGCCCCCATACTGTGGGTTGTCGAGAGGGATGCTGTGGACCCGAAGGAGGCCGGCGTCAACAACCGCACCCACCACAAGGATTTGCTGCTTGACATGTGCGACTCGCGCTTCATCGAGCACGACACCTTCACGCTGTTCGGCCTGGTCATGCAGAACGCAAAGGCGTACTACGAGCCTTCCAGAACGAGCCAGTCCAGTGACTCACCAATGCTTGTGAAATGCCGTCACATCTTCGAAAGGCTCCTTCCGAAAGCAGATCCCGAATTGGCAGATCATCTCAAGGAAATCGAGGTTGCACCCCAGATGTTTCTGATGTAAGTCTTGCGTCTGTGCTTTCACGTCCAGCGAGCTGATTTTCCAAGGCGCTGGATGCGGTTGCTTTTCGGTCGCGAGTTTCCGTTTGACGACGTCCTTCCTATGTGGGACCTCATGTTCGCCGCCGACCCTTCTCTGGAAATCGCCGACTACGTGTGTGTAGCTATGCTCCTTCGTGTCCGTTGGGAGTGTGAGTGCACTGTTCTGCCACCGTCATGCTTCCTCGCTAATTTCAAACCCCAGTACTCGACGCTGATGCGAATATGGCCATTACAATCTTACTACGGTACCCGCAACCACGCAAGGATGACCCTCCGCGGACTTATGTGCAAGATGCGGTACAATTGAGTGAGAAGCTCAACTGGGAAACCGCAAGCCAGATTGTCAAGAACTACACAGGCCGTGTGCCTGCTCGACCTCAACAGCGGCCAGAGACACCTCAGGAACAGACCTCTCCTCAGCGGCAGCTGTCTCCATTCAAGTTCCATGCTCAGTCGATGTCACCGTCGGGAAGCATCGAGACAATAATACAAGATGCGGCCCGAGGAATACACAAGACTGGAGAGAAATGGGGTGTTAACAAGACCATAAGAGACGCCGTCGGCGACTTCCGCAAGAACGTCCAAGGAATACAGTCAGGTCGCAATGCTCCTACCTTCAGGTCACTGATAACTGGGGAAGCCAACAAAGCAACCGACTCTACGGCATTGTTGAGCAAGATCGAGTACTTGGAAGAGCGTAACAAGTCGTTGGCAAGGATGCTCGAAGAGTCGGTCTCTGAACTATGGGAGTGTCAGAAGGATGCGTTGGATGGAAAGGGCTCTGAGAAGAAGGCCATAGAGTCTTTAAGCCTTGCCATCGCAAAAGTGCAGGTCATGCAAGTGTACCTCGAAGACTACAGCATCCCACTTCCGGCGGATGACCCGGCCCCCTTCGAAGAATCGCCTCCAAAATCGACGCTGGCAGAGGTAAGCGAGGAGCCATCGGTCCCATCAAGTGAAGATGCCAGCATGACGATCGCACCGACTTCAGACAAGCCAGCCCCAGCCCCCACCAGCCGCAAATCCACACCAACGACGGCGCCGCACTCTGCCACAATCAACAGCCGCCCCGCGAGCATCGCGAGCCCAACAGAGTCCGCCTCATCCTCCCAGACCCTCGCCCGCAACTTCTCACCCGGATCCCGGACGCGCCCCACCCTCGCCTCGTCATCCTTCTCGTGGATGCTGGGCGGCCAAGAGCCAGACGCCACGACGCCGGCCTCGAGCTTCGCCGCAGCCTCGCAGCTCAGCACGTTCCAGCCGCTCGAGAAGCGCGAGCGCCGCCGCAACAAGCCCACGGGCGGCGGCGGCGGCGCGGCCGGCAAGCGCGGCGCCTCGGGCGGCAGCGGCGGCAACGCGTACTCTGGAGAGGCGGGCGGCGGCGGCGGCGACGACGACGGAGACAAGTCGTTCCTGTTCGGGGACGACGAGTTCATGAGCGGGCCGATGGGGCCGGGCTCCACGGCGAGCAAGAGGGCGACGAAGAAGGGCAAGGACACGGTGTTGTTGAGGGAGGTGTTCGATCTGGATGAGGTCGGTGGGGGTGCGGGTGCGGGTGCGGGTGCGGGGCGGAATGTTGGGAGTGAGGCGGGTGGTGGTGGTGGCGGCGGCGGTGGTGTGAAGGTCAAGGCGGGCGGAGGGGAGTGAAGTGGGCGTCAAGGGCGAGAGTGTGTGTTATGTTTTCATGAAGGATCGAGAGCATAGCATGGCGTGGAGTGGCGTGGCGTGGCGGCGGCTTTATGATCTTGCGTTCTGTTTGCGGGGAGGAGAGGTAGTCTTTGGTAAATATATCTTATGTGATGACTTGTGTATATATTTGGGCACGCTTGCGTCCTGTTTCACGGGGTTTCACAGTGATGCGCTTCGTAACTCACGCGACGGTGTGGATGTAGCAGGAAAGTAGACTGACTTGATGCATCATTATATGCGGTGGCGCGTCTTTTCTCTTCTTTTTTTTTTGTTGGTGTGCAGACTTGGCTTGGTATCACCATCGTTTTATTAGGGGTGGCAGAGTTTAGGTATGTAGGCCCTGATACCGGCCGGCTCTTGAGTTCTGGCGTACGACTTTCGCAAACAGTGGTTGTTGCCTCGCACGCAGAGCGCGGCGGAAACGTTTCCTCTTTCGGAAGTTCTGCGCTTGCCCGATACGGTAATTGCGCATTGATCGGATTGCCTTCCCGTATGCCGAAGAGTGCTCGCAGAATAGTCATAAGTCAAGCGGATCGAATAGGGCAAGCTACTGATGCAGTTCCATTACTGAATATAAGGCAGAACAAGGAAGGCATTGAGCCTGAACACACCATAAGAGGTTTCTCTAAACAAAAGTGGTATCCACAAACTACTCCTCCGCGATGCCGGCCTTCCTCTTCTTTCCTCTCTTCTTCTTTTTGCTTCCTTCCCTGATATCGACACCATCATCTCTCGAACTCTTCGCCTGAACGTCGACCGGAGCCTGGATAGGCAAGCCGTGATCGTTGTACTTCTTGGTAACATAATCACTGAAACCGTACTTGGGACCCTCCTCGTCACCGAACGTCTCCTTGCGCCATTCCCGGAGCCTGGCCTTCTTTCCCAGCTTCTTCTTGTCCTTCTTCTTTTTCTCGGGTTCGCGCCAAGTAGCCATCTTCTTGAGGCCAGCAAATTGGTTCAGCTGAGCGTCGTCCGCGAGCAGGATGTCGCGGGCGGTGAGGCCGAAGGTGGTTGGGGAAGTTTCACGGTAGCGGAACCTGGCAGGCCCACTCTCGGTCTGCTTCGCCGCGAGATCCACCTCGATGTTTTGGTCAACGAGGCTCTCGATGATGCGACGTTCCCGGCGCGCTGCGTGCTTGGCATCGATCTCGTTCTTTTTCGACTTCTTCTTTTTCTTCGAAACAGTTTCCTCATCCGATTCGTCTGCCTCGCCGTTGGGAAGCTGAACGCCGCCATCCTCCTCGTCTTCGCCACCGGATAGGTTGAGGGCGGGCGCTTCTTCCTCGTCTTCGAAATCGGGAATGATGTCTTTGATATCAATGTCGTCGTCCCAAGTGGGCTTCTTCGGCTTCTTGCTCTTCTTTTTCTTCTTTCCTACGCCATCTTCATCAGAGTCGGAAACAGCCCCTTCTTTCTCATCGTAGTAGTTGTCACCGAAGCGCTTCTGCATCTCCTGGTCCCACCGATCGTCATCCCAGTCGGCATCCAACACATCTCTCCAGTCATCCAGGTTGAATTCCTTGCCACTAAGGCCTGCCGCCTCCTTGATCATGTTGAGCTTCTCTTCCATCTCCTCGATCTTGAGCTTCCGCAAGCGTGCCTTATCCTCTTCTCTCTCACGTTTGATTGCTTCCTTTCTCTCGCGCTCCTTGTCTCTCTGCTTCTGTCTTGTACTCTTTTCCTCCCTACGCACCGAAGCCTTGGCCACGGCGTCACGGGCGAATGTCTGCAACTTTTCGTTGGCGGTGGCCGGGTCCTCGAAGCGCATGTTGTATGCCATTTCAAACTCGTCAGCGCGACGGTCCTCTGAGTCCGAGTCCGATTCCAGAGGCGCAAACTTGTCGGTGTCGAGGGTCCAAGCACGGGAAGCCAAAAAGTTGGAAAGGAAGTTTTCGGGGTCCTTGTCAGCGTTCTCGACATCGAGCTCGACCTTCCTCTTCGGCTTGGCAGACGGAGCAGCGGAAGCAGCAGCCTCATCCTTCTTAGGCTTGTCCTTGGCGACGAGGAAGTCGTCCTCGCCTTCGTCCTCACTCTCATCCGCCTGGGTGGCGCTGGCGAGCTCCTTCTTCAAGGCGGCCTGCTCCTGCGCATACGGAAGCGCGGGCTCGTCCTCGTCCTCGTCCCCAGTTATCTTGCCCTCCATGAGGTTTTGGCGATGGTAATCGCGGAGGGTCACGGGTTTCTCTTGCTTCTCGGTCGTGGGCAGGTTCTCCGGGTTCCAGTCGGAATAGAATTTGGCGCCTGCGTCGTAGACTCGTGGGTCTTTGCTGCGGATGGCATTGAGAGTGGCGGAGATTTCGGCATCGAGAGCCTCAGTAGCGAGCATGGCGTCGTCATCTTCATCCTCGTCGGACGAGGACTCTTCGTCTTCGTCGTCGCCTTCCTTGTCGTTGCCGTACTTCTCTTCCACTGTAGAACCAATTGTCAGCACGCGGTGGACGGAGGAGCAGGCGAGCAGAGAGACGTACGGCGCTGCCTCTCCTCGCGCTTCTTGTTATGCTCGAAGCGGCGTGCAAACTCCTCGTTGATCTTGAAGCCGACTTCCTCACCGCCCGAGGCGGAGGACTCGTCCTCGTCGTCGAGCAGCTTCGTGCGCTTGGCGGGGCGACCGCCGTCGGTCTGGGTCTTATCCTTGGCCATCTGGATTGGATCTGGCGGAGCAAGTGGCAGCTGTCGGATGCTGGGGTCAAAAAAAGTTCGAGACAGGCGGCGCACTCGGGCCATCAGGTCGGGGCCATGCCTGATTGGGCGCTAGTTGCCGTTGCGGAGCTTCGCCTGGCATTTGGCCGCCGGCGGCTGCACGACCCAGAGCTCTGCGCGCTACGCCCAGCGCATCCACATGTGAATTGTTATTGTGTCCACCGTGCCCGGAAAGGAGGCGCACTCTGGACTACTGTCTGAGGCGTGGTTTTCAGAAAGCGCGTGCGTGCGGAGCGTGATCTCTTTCTGTTCTCGGGGCCGGCTTGGCCGAAATGATCGGTCGGGTCGCTGCGCTCGGTGCCTGTGACGTGCACTCGCGCGCTGCACCAAACACCTCCCGCCGCACAACCCCCTCCCCGTGGATCCCAACATTGCGGCGCACCTGTCGCCATGCCCCTCTGACACCTTTTCGCGTTCGCCTAAACTGTTCCCTCCACTCGTTTTGCATGCGCTGCCATGGCTGAGGAGCAGCAAACATCCGTCCCAGCGGCGCTGATGCCCGTGGGGAAGCCGCTGAGCCTGATGTACGCCTGCCCCCCCGCAGCCCTCAACCACCCGCCTCTGCTGACTGCGCGCTCCGTAGCCCCGTGGTCCTGAAGGAAGCCGCGCTCGACAGCCCGACGTTTCGCGCAACCGCCGTTCACTTCGGCGATCAAATCGACCTCGTCGAGAAATGGCTGGAGAACTACGTGAAAGCGGCTGGCAAGCTCGTCCAGGAGGTTTCCAACCTCGAAAACACCGTGAACGCCTTCATCGCCCACTCCGAACCACCGTCGTACATCTCCGAGGCCGTCATAGACCATGACTACACCATGCTCGCTGTCAAGCGCTACAGCGAGGGCGCCAGGGAGTTTTGGCAGGCCACGATCAAGGGCATGAAGAGGACCGACTTCACCATCCTCGAGCCCCTGCGAGCTTTCCTCCAGACCGATCTTCGCGCATTGAAGGACCTGCGCCGGACCCTCGACACCACCCAGAAGCAATTCGACGGCCTGATCGCACGCTACGCTGGGCGCAAGAAGTCGGAGGAAGCCTCGTCGCTGCGAGAGGAGGCTTTCCAGCTGCACGAGGCCCGGAAGGCGTACATCAAGGCCGCCATGGATTTCTGCATCATGGCGCCGCAGATCAGGACCGCGCTGGACAAACTGTTGGTCAGGGTCTTCTCCGAGAGGTGGAAGGAGATGAAGTCGTTGAGGGAGGCGACGGACAAGATTTACACTCAGTACACTGGTGAGATGGAGCGCGTCAGAGGCTGGTCCAGGGAAATGGAAAACAGCGAGAGAGTGTTCAAGCGCGAGCTTCACCTTGCCCGGAAACAGCTCGAGGACAGCGCCGAGGCTGGCGTCCGGCCTTCGCGAGAACTGGATGACTATACCATTTCGACTGTGCCATATATCGGATCGCACGGCTCGATGCAGTCGCCAGCAAAGCCCGGCGGGGAGAGGTCGGAGAAGCAAGGATGGCTCTTCGAGCGAACCATCACGGGCAAACCGGCAAGGACGGTTTGGGTAAGGAGATGGTTCTTCCTCAAGAACGGCATCTTTGGTTGGTTGGTTCATGGCGCACGCTCAGGTGCAGTGGAGGAGTCGGAGAAGGTTGGAGTGTTACTTTGTGGTGTGCGGCCTGCATTCCAAGAGGAACGCAGGTTCGCTTTTGAGGTTAAGACGAAAGACAAGACGAACATGTTACAAGCTGAGAGTCAGAGCGAGCTGATGGATTGGATTTCTACTTTTGAAGCAGCGAAGCGCAAAGCCTTGGAGGATCCCGCCAGCACAGGAGCCACCGCTACCCCGTCCGCCGATGCCGCGTTTGCCATCAGCCCCCCTGTCGCCCCCGAATTCGCGGCCCGCGCCGGAGACCACAATCCTCATGGAAGTGACGACCTTTCTACGCTCAAGCACGCCGAAACCCTCCCGGTATCTAACCCGGACATGGCGAATCTCGCGACTCGTAGCAGCTTCGACGTTAGCGGTAAACGGAATGCTCAGGGCGACAAGGACGGAGAAAGCAGCAGCCGCGACCACGCCGCCAGGATTATCCAGAAACTCGACCTCCATAGGAGAACGACAGCGAATCCGCAGCTCAGTAGTATGCCTTCATCGCCAAATCCTTCGACAGGCATCGCCGGTCTTATTTCAGCCAGTCACAATATTCACAACTTCCTCCCAGTAGCGCCTCAATCTAGTTCGCCCATGCTCTCAGCCGACGGCCGCGCTGCCACCATGCCGATCAGTTCCCTCGCGCCGTCGACGTTCGCCAACCCGCCCGCACCTACGAACCTAAGCAAGACCGCCGTCATCGTCAGCGGCGAACGAGGAATCGGTGTCGGTCGCCAAGATGGTGTCATGCCTTCTGGACTCCTGGCCAACCTCTGGGGATCAACGAACTGGGGCTATGTCAACCGATTTGAGAGAGGAGAGATCAAGTCCGCCCGGGGCCACGCAGTCTCTCAGCCCCCAAGCCCCGTATCACGTGCTATCACCGCTGCTGACATTAGTGATTCTGTCTCTGATATTGCCAAGGACGTTGCGACTACTGGGGCCTCACCGTTGCCACCCTCGACACATCGGAAGACCCTCAGCGCCAGCATGACTCCGGAACCAATATTGACCAAGCTGGAGCTTCCTTCGCGCCCGTCGTCTTCTTCGGACGAATACCCGAGCTCGTATCCTCTAGCGCTGAGAGCTCAGGACGTCCAATTCCGACTGCTCTTCCCTAATGTACCACTCGATGAAAAGGTCGTCATGGTGTTTAGGGCGACTTGGAATCCAAATGAGCAGCAGGAGTTCCCTGGCCGTGTTTACGTCACAGCGAGCAATGTTTACTTCTACAGCAACCACCTCGGCCTCGTTCTCGTTACCAGTGTTGGTCTCAACGTAGTCGATGAGATCACTGGCGCTCCAGGCCGCGATTGCGACTTCCTCTTCATCCACATGAAAGAAGGAGTTCGTCCCGACGACTACAGCCGTGTAACGGTCAAGATCTTCCTCGAGCCCCTGAAGCTCGTCCAAAGACGTCTCAACTACCTCGTGCGCAACTGCAATTCCGACAACCACGATAGTTTGGACGGCATCATCAGAACCCTCATCAGGATGGAGGGCAATGGCGGCGAAAGTCCTAGCATGGAGAGCTGGGACAACGTCTCCAATATCGACACGCCCATCGAAGGACCCATGCGCCGTGATACCCTGGGCAAAGCAGGCCTACGCATTGACGGCGATCTCTTCGCCAACACAACCTCACTTACTCGTAAGCCTACAAGGTTTAAGTTGCCCCTTCAACCTGTAGTGTACAGGCCACAAGGCATGACGCTGGTAGCCACGGAGCGTGAGTTCGACATCAGTGCCAAGGCGCTTTTCCACGTCATGTTTGGCGACAAGAGCGCAGTATTCCAGATGCTCTTCCGCGAGCGCTGGCCTCAAACCGTTGTTCAAGGCCCCTGGGTGCAACAGGAAGGTGGTCTTCAGCGCCGCGAATTCGAGTACCGTGCGACTGCCGAATCGCCGGCGGTCATCCGCGATTACCAGATCATCGAGGTGCTGAACGATCACCTTTGCTACGTTGTTGCGGACAAGAAGACACCATGGTATCTCCCCAACTCCAAAGACTTCGTCCTCATAAGCAAACTGGTCGTCACCCATGTTGCGAAGTCACGCTGCAAGCTTGCTGTTTACACGAAGCTGGAGTGGACGAAAGAGCCGATGCTTATCAGAAGCATGATCGAACGCCAAGCGTTTGAGGACTTGGACCTCGAAGCACAAGACCTGATGGATATCATCGCGGACCAAGTCGGTCGATTGGGCAGGGCAAGCCGCACTCGCAAGGCGGTTCAGATTTTCGGCTACCTCGGCCAACAGAACCAAACGGTGCAAGTCGCAGAGATGCTCACGCCCGTCAAAGAACGCAGATTCAAACTGCAGAAGAAGACGCTCGACAGCATGTTCTGGGACCTGGGCCGCGCCATGGCCGCCAACTGGATCTCGACCGCCATCACCGTCTTCACCGGCGTCATCGCCGCCATCGGCAAGGTCTTCACGGCGCACACGATGCTCCTGGGGCTCCTCGCCTTCAGCGGCGGCATGAACCTCCTCTGGAGCTACCGCGACACGTGGACCTGGTGGCAGGAGCGCAACGCCGGCAAGTTCATGGCGCGCATGGGCGTCACGCCCGACGTGGTCATGAGCAAAGCCGTCTACCTCCGCGACATCGACGAGATCTTCGTCAACGACACCATCGCCGCCGACTTTGGCATCGGCCTCGCGCGCGGTGGCGGCAGCAGCAGCGTGGAGCACGGTGTCGTCGGCGACACCGACGAGCAAACCACACCACCCTCGCAGAACAACAACAACTGCCAGCAAACCTTCCTGCAGCTCCTCCACAACCCGGACCACTCGGACTTCCAGCCCTACGCCAGCCAGTTCGCGCCGCACCTGACGCCGTCGACGCGCGCGACGGGCACGCGGCTGCACCGCACGCGCCAGAACCTCGCCGCCTACCGCCACGACCTGCTCGTCGCCATGCGCCTCGTCAACCGCGTCGAGCGCGAGGTGCTGCAGGCCGAGTGGGAGAACTGGGTCCTCGACGAGAACGTCCGGTGCAGGCGCGTCGGCGACATGATCCGCAAGCGCAACGAGACCGACGGCGGCAGCGTGGACGCGGTCATGGAGTGGTGGGTGGGGTATTGTGGGGAGTGCAAGAGGGCGTTGGAGGGGTTGGATGTGGTGGGGTTGAGGTGAGGTGGTGGTGGTGATGATGATGAGTTGATGGGTGGATGGATGGGTGGATGGGCAGGTGGAAGGATGGGTGGATGGGCAGGTGGAAGGATGGAAGGATGGACAGATGGGAGGACGGAAGGATGGACGGAGACTTGGCTCGACGATATGGAAGGGGGAAGGGATGGGAAGTTTGATGTGTGTGGGTTTGAACGTTATGGGTTGGGCGGGTGAGGAACTGCACGTGGAAGGATGTCATGGGTTGCATGGGTTGCATGGGTTGCGTGGGTTGACTTTTTCGTATTCTTTTTTCCCTCTCAAATCCTGGTTCGGTGCAGGTATCGGATAAAGTACGTATAATCATGTCCATACACAGTATGAGGTATTTTCACCTGTTTTTCCCACATGGTCAATTTTCCCCGATCATTCCACTAGCCGCGACCAAGAGAAAAGCTCTTTCAACGAGACGTCCGACCCCAGTCCCACTAGCCTAACACCAACACCAGTGCGGACCGGAGTTGATGGACAAGAAAGATATGAGGCTAGGAAATATAAATCCCGTCCTCATCAAAATCCTCCATGTCGCTATCGTCCAGGTCCGAATCCATGTCTTGGTGAGAATAATCCCCTTCACTTCCCGATTGATCCCTATCCTCCTCCATATCCCAGATGGCCCACTCGGACTGGGTCCTCGCGAAATTGGACTTGTATTGATACATAAACATTCTTTGCACGTACGGCAACAACATGACTGGGTCCTCGGCCAGCTCCAAAATGTCCCCCGCGAACAGCCGCAGCCTCTTCATGCCCCGAAGGTCCAGAGAACCACTGACCCCATATATGAACCCGGCACTGACGTCCATGGCAATCTCCTCGAGAGTGTCTTTTTGCTGAGAAAGTAGTTCTGTCCAGTCGTCCGTTTCGAGGATCCGGGGGTAACCGTATGAGGCGGGTGCGTCTGTGGAGTATTCAAGGATGAAGTTTTTCAGTCCTCGAGGAAGTGACAGAACGCGTCGGACAAGATCCAGTGACTGGGAGCCGTCTCGCAGCCAAAGTGTTTCCAGCGGGGTTGATCTCGCGAAGTCTGCGCGGCGGAGGTTGTCCAGGACTGCCGGATCGAAATCAAGGGAACATCGATCAATGAACAAGTGGCGGAGGGTGGGGCTCAGGAAGACGTGCAACAGGTCTGGATCAGGGTTACATTGCGACCCGAGTCCCCTGAGTCTGAATTGCAGGCGTAGGATGGTCAGCTTGGTGAGCACGCGCTCGTCGGGCGGGGCACGCAGACTCGTTCTTCGGAGCATGTCGAAGAAATCGTACTGGTGATAGGTGACGTTGTCCATGCTCGACACATCCACGTCGGACAAGGTGTTTTGGTCCCAGTAGTGAGAGGCAAGGCTGAGTTCCTCGAGATTCTGACATGTGACTAGGGTTGGACATAGCATCATGGACGTCCAGCAGCTGCCTCCAGGGTGCTCTTTGGGGAACCTTGTCGAGGATATGAGTCATCTAGCTCTGGAAAGCTGATGAATCCTCACGGCCTTATATAGTTGTCGCTCCGAGACATGGTTGAGACGGCGCGACACAAGACAGCATGCTATGAGGTCGGCATAGGCGTGGATGTTCTGGAGAATCAAGTCAAGGATCTCTGTGGGTAGCTGGTTGAGAGTACGGGCTGGGCGACTCATGTTTGATAATAATGGAAGGTCGATGGCAAGTCAGTGGGCCATGGGCGAAGCCTTTATCTAGGTAGCGATGGTCGCACAAGCGGCCCGAGCAATGCCGAACCCTTTCGTGCCTAAGGCAGAGTGGCCATGATGAACACCACAACATCTGCGCAAAGGATCCCGGTTCCAGGGCAATCAATGGCGTATTCCCATAGGCTCGACACATGGTTTGCAGGGAAACCGAAAACACTGTCGTTTGCCATGTTCGGATAGAGGATGCAATCAAGGAGTGCTGCACGTTTTTCCAGTGCCAGCTCGTGCCCTTTTATGCGGTTCTTTTTCCGCCTGCCGCCCGTCTCGGAAATAGAAAGACGCGGCTTATTGCGTCACTCAGCACCGGGCGGCGACTGAACAGGCCAATCCAAGGCGCCACCCCAGCTTTCCCCGCCGCCATCCCACTTTTCCCCGCATCCATCGTGTGGGGGGACTCACCAACACATTTCTTTTTCCGCCCGTTATCGCCTTCGACCTGCCGGAACGATGCCACACCGACTACGTGCTGATCTACTTGGCCGTGCTACTGCTGCACATGCCGACTTTCCCTCCCTCGCTAGGGGTCAATACCTTTAAAAGGACGGCTTCCTCCGACTTTTTACTTCAACACTTCGGCTTGACTCACCACCACACCTGCCGAGACGCCTTCGCCCGCGCTTGGTGAAGCTTATCGTTTTCGCTTCCAATACCCCCGGCTCTGGAAGTCCCAAAGCATTACCGCCGTCTCCATCACTTCACACTATGCGCCTCTTCAAGAGCGCAGCACGTCCGCCGGCAGATGACCCGCCAACACCTTCCTCCGCGGACCCATCCAACCCAACCAGCAACAAAAATGGTGCTATGCATCAAGAAGTCATCTCTCCCGCCTCCACAGCTACCACCAGCAAATGGAACTTTTCGCGCGGCGACGGCGACACGGCCGCAGCCCTGTTCCGCGAGCCGGGCGAGATACACGAGCCACATGATCCCGATGAAGAAAAACGCCTGGTACGCAAGATCGACTACATGATCCTGCCGTACCTGTCTGTCTGCTACGCCTTCTTCTACATCGACAAGACCACCCTGTCTTATGCAGCCATCTTCGGCATCAGGGACGACTTGAGTCTGGTTGGGACGCAGTACAACTGGCTTTCCAGCATGCCCTCCCTGCCTGCTGCTTCAAATCCATATTGACTGTTTGGGACAGGCATCTTTTACTTCGGCTTCCTGGCTTGGGCGTTTCCAACGAACTTCATGCTGCAGCGTTTTCCGGTGGGAAAGTACCTCGGCCTCAACATCTTCGTATGGGGCGTACTCTTGATGGCACAAGCGGGCGCGAAGGCAAGAAGCCGTGCAACCACATGCCGTCTGACTGTTACTGACTTTTGCGCAGAACTTTGGAACACTGGCAGCTCTCCGCGCACTTTCAGGAGCTGCCGAAGCCTGCGCCGACCCTGCCTTCATGTTGATCACGAGCATGTGGTACACTCGCCGTCAACAACCAGTCCGAATCGGTCTGTGGTACACCGCAAACGGCTTCGGTATTGCACTCGGCGGTCTCCTTGGTTACGGCATAGGACAGATCAAAGGCTCCCTGCCCTCGTGGAAATACGAGTTCTTGATCATCGGAGGCAAGTCGTCACCACCGCGCACCCAGTACGCACTCCACCACTGACCCTTCAAACAGCCCTCTGCTGCAGCTGGGGCATCGTCATGTCCATCTTCCTGCCCGACAGCCCCGTCACCGCGCCCATGCTCAGCACCCGCGAGAAGCGCCTCGCCGTCGAGCGCCTGCGCGAGGACCAAACCGGCGTCGAGAACAAGCACTTCAAAGCGTACCAAGTCGCCGAGGCGTTCAAGGACCCCAAGACGTACCTCCTCTTCACCATCGGCGTCGTCGCCAACATCCCCAACGGCGGCATCTCCAACTTCGGCACGCTCATCATCAAGGGGTTCGGCTACTCGACGCTGGTGACGACGCTGCTGCAGATGCCGTACGGCGCGCTCATCGCGCTCAGCATCCTGGCCTGCGTCTACCTCAACGACTACTGCGCCGTCCGGCTGCGCCGCAACACGCGCTGCTGGTTCGTCATCGCCTTCCTGGTCCCCAACATCGCCGGCACCTTCGGCCTGCGCTTCGTGCCCCAGCAGCACCACGTCGGCCGCCTGTGGTGCTACTACCTCACCGGCCCCTACAACGCCGCCTTCGTCCTCCTCCTCTCCCTCACCATCGGCAACACCGCCGGCCATACGAAGAAGGTCGTCACGAACGCGTGCCTGTTTTGTAAGTCTTGCCTGCCTGCCTGCCTGGGATCTCCCCTCCCCCTTTTCTTTTTCTTTACAAAGAAAATGTTTTCTGACAACAGTGATGTTTCCACAGTGGGTTATTGCACGGGCAACATAGCCGGCCCGTTCTTCTTCAAGACGGAGCAGCAGCCGACCTACACCCTGGGCATCTGGAGCATGATCGTCTGCCATCTGCTCGAAGTGGTGTTGATTTTGATCTTCAGGACGCTGCTGAGCAGGGAGAACAAGAGGAGGGATCGCAAGTTTGGCGAGGGTGTGACGGTGCAGGATCTGGACGCCACCGCCTTTGGCGATCTGACCGACTGGGAGAACGAGAATTTTAGATATGTGTACTGATAGTTGATCAATGGGGCGGTTGGTAGCATTGACAAGGAACTGTTTGTACAGATTTAGATAGTATGGTATGTTTTTCTCTGGGGTTTCCTTTTATTTGGTGTATCATGTCTGGGGGAATCTCGAAACGTATTTTAGATCACGAGATGGTATCCCCCGTTCCTACGTCAGTCTGTACCTTCCAGTAGAAAGCCAATCTTTTACAGGTAGAGTGACTTGGACAAGTATCGCTGGCAGCATTTGTCGGTTGTGTCAACTTTTTGTAGTTTTTACCATTTTCAGTAGCCGCAATCGGAAATCGCCGGGCCAAGATATATTCATGGCGAATTCGGGCTTGCCCCAGGCTAATTCCTTTTCGTCACTCACAGCTCGTTCTTCCAGGACATGTCGAGATTGTCATGATGATGATTTTTCTTCTTCTTCTTCGCCGGACTATTATCTACAGCGTCCAGTAGTTAGACCCGGTCTAAAAGCGCTTCCGAGAAAACCATCATCTCCCCTCCCAACCCAAGCAACGAATTCATCTCCGGTTCGGTGGTATAACGCTTTCCGCGGACGGGGGGCGAGCTGTTTAGAGCTTGCTGATGAAGAGACGGGCGCACATGCGGCGGACGTCCTGGGGCAGGAAGTACTTGGAGAGGAAGTAGACGAAGGTGGGGATGATGGCCATGGCGAAGGTGGTCTCGTTGACCCAATAGAAGGGGACGAGCTGCGGCATGCCGGCGTAGAGCATCGTCTGCTGTAAAGTTTTCCCGAAACATCCCGCGTTAGCAAATTCCCAACAACAGACCAATCCTTCTTTCTCCCATCAATCGGCCATCGCCCCCGAGATGGCAACACTTTTTTCCTTCTTGTTTCCCCATCGTTTCGTTTTACACGCGGGTGTGCGTCGCGCGCGGACCGTGGGCGACTGCGGAGGGGCGGGCGGTGAGCGAGGGTTCTGCGTACCATCTTGGCGCCGGCCTTTTCGGCGGCAGAGAACTTCTGGCCGTTGTACGAGGGCGTGAAGGGGGCGACCTTGGCGGCGGTGCGCATGCTCATGGGAGCAGCGAAGGCCTGGCGCTCGACGGCGCGGGCGAGGGGACGGAAGAGGCGAGCGGAAGACATGGTTGGCCCTGTGACAATCTTGCGTCAGAGGGGATTGTTGGATCGCGCGGGAACGAAGGCGGCGGGCGGGGCGAGCGCGTGGGCGGAGTCGCGAAATGCGCGTCTGCAGGCGTTTCGGGCGGGGGCTCACGTACGATTGAGTCGAATTGGGTCGAGACCGGCGATGGGAGTGGGATGGATGAGAGAGGCTGTCTGCGCTTTCGGACGTCGTCGTTCTGAGCTTCGAGCCCGGCCCGTCACGTGGAAGCTGCGCTAGACCCGAACCGTCATGGCCATTCGCGGGAACCCTCCACTCCGCCGCCGACTTTCCAAGACGGACAAGCAAAGGCTTGTTTTTGCCTTTCGTCCTGACATTGTTCGTGACTACCATGTCATTCCCGAGACAAGCTACGCCTTTCACCGTCTTTATTTTCATTCGTGGCCCTGCGTTTCCGTTTGTCCGAACTGTAGAACAATGTAATCTTCCTCGTAGTCACGTTTTCTTTTTGCCTTCTTTTTTCAGGGTCGCTTTCTACTGCTAGGCATTCCATGCATCTAGTGTTGCGTTGCGTCAATGCAATTTCGAGCATGCCAAGCGCTTCGATACTACTGCTGTACCCTTTCGGCGCTCGCTAACACGCGGCACACTACAACGAGCGCTTTAATGATCGGGGGAGGAAGGATTAAAGGACGGACTGGCCCCAGAACTGACGCGTCCTCTGTGTTCAAGGATGTCGAGTTCCTCCGGAACTAGAGGATGGGGCGTCACGGCGTCTGGTGACTGCATAATTCGCGAGTCATCACCCTCTCCGTCTCTCCGTTCAGGGTTCTGAAGCACTTTGGCCGGGAAGAAAGAGAAAGTAAGCCATCATTATATCTTTTCTCCGCGGGGCAAGGTGTTCACGCTCGCCAATTTCAACGGGTCCCACGGCCATGGTTGGAGCATCTTTGTGATGGCCGGACCAAAGCCGGACGGACTTGAATACGGCCGGTTTGCCCGAACAGGCAATTTTGTCGGCATACCATCTCAGCTGCGAATTTGTCACCAGCCACCAATACAAAATAGCCCCGTGTGTTCCGGCGAAGGGGTCGATTCAGTCTACGTCTATACCGTCATGGCATCAAATCGTCAATCCGTTGCTCATGCACCGCTCTTGTTCAACTCCTCGCCTCTAGCAATCAGTCCCTCAAGCCAAGTCTTGAACTCCTCCCTCATCTCAATGGGTATGCAGTGGCCTTGACCGTCGATGAGGCGTTTCTCCACCTCTCCCTTCTGCTGCTCGCCAATGCCCTCTAGCCCCTCTACCAGCACCTTTGCATGAGGGAAGGTGATCATGCGGTCTTCGGTGCCATGCACCACCATTATCCGCTCGCGTCCTACCTTGTCCGCGATTTCACCCAACTGCTCTGGGCTCTTGTAGTGCCAGCCCGCGGCAACGGCTTGCGCCATGAAGCCGGTGCGGTTGAAGTGAGCAGGATCCTTGCGCTTACTAATTTCACCAGCCGCAAACCGGTCGCAGTTTGTTGGGAAGCGCTGCTTCGTATACTCGTGATCGTCGGGCGACTCCAGCCATTTGTCAGTGAAGAGATTGCGCTTGACGTGCGCGAGCTGGTTGTCAATGCTGCGGGGGATGAAGAGGTTGACGCGGTTCCGGATGTTCTCCACGAAGCCGACGGTATTGAAGAGCCCAGACGCCGTGGATACCAGGGATAGTGTCGCAACGCGCTCAGGGATGAGGAACGCCTGTGGCTTGTCGGTAAGCGCCGACAAACTACGGGCTTAAGGCCGACTTACCACTTCCTGCGCAATCATACCGCCCATGCTGATGCCAACGACGTGGAGTTGGCGCTTCTCGGCCCAACCGATATGATCAAGGACCTCAATCACGTCGCGGGCCATTTCCGAGGTCGAATAGCGCATCATGGGCTTGTCAGACTCGCCTACACCGCGATTGTCGATGATCAGCGACGAGTACTTGTCGGCTTGCGTGTGCGAGAAATCCTTGGTTTGTCTCTGCCACGCCGTCTTGAAGCCGCCCAGGCCCATAATCCACTGCATTAATGAAGATCAGCCACCACGTCGTAAGCCATTTTTTGACGTTGAGATTGGGTTGTCAGAGAACAAGCTTGTCTGCAACACAGGGTTGGGCGCTACGGCGCTCCCCGTGTATCAGGCTTCGTCCTGTAAAGGCACGCCTCGAGCCCGGAACTGCACGGGATTCGCGAGCGGCGCGGTGCGGCAGAAGTCGTGGGCCAGGCTCCATGCTTGCGCTATGCCCGATGCAAAACATGCGAACTTGGCGCGAACAGGCCCTCATACCTGAATTGTAGGACGACGGAAACAAGGAAATGAGCTGACGCTGCCACGGGCTTACTCACCACAATGTGGACGGGGCCATGGCCGTGGACCTCGTAGGCAATATCGAGCGGGCCGCCACGGGCGGCAGCGACGGCGACCTTGCCCTTCTGCGCGGGCTCCAGGCGCCAAGTGACGTACGGGAATTCAGGATGAGCCTCGACCTCCGCTGCAGTCAGCGGGCGAGGCGGGGATGATGCAGTAGACCTTCCGCAGTGCAGGGTTAGCCCCGGGATTAGCGGTGGGAGCGGCAGCGAGGAGCAAACCGTACATGGCGTTTCGCTGGTGCCTGACGGCCGCTTGGAGCAACTGTTGCGAGTCGCAGAAAGAGCACGATGGCGCTTGGACGGTGATGCAGCAGTCACGGAGGTGGCTCAGCGCTCAGAGCTGGCGCTTGGTGGCGACACGAACGGCCACTCTCGGGAAGCGGGACGCGCGGGAGCCGAGCAGACGTCGAAAATGGCCGGTGGCAGGCGCAGAGCAGAGGCAGAGAGGTGCGCCGGCGCCCGCACAAGCAGCGGCGGGCTCTTAAGGCGGCGGCCGGCGGTGCCGTAGTGGCTCGGGCTGCGCGGGCTGCGCGGGCGAGCGCGTGAGCAGGCGTGCACCACGTACCAGCCAGCGACGCCACAGGCTGCCGACAGGTGCCGGCAGGGCCTGGTCGGACAGTCGGACAGCCAGCGGGACGAGCTTGCGCTGACCAATGGGCGGTCCCACCCGGGTCTGGCGTTCGCCCTGGAGCGCGATCCTGCCCCGGTTCTCGAACTTCTGCAACATCATCCCCCAGGCAAGAGCTCCGAAAACGCTCGCCTGCTCGCCTCTTCCCGCCGGCCGTGCTCTGCCACTGCCATGTCTGCGCCCCTCTCCACCTGCGACAGACCCGCGCACCGTGAATCGACAAGCCTGTGACTGCGTTTCAGCCCAGTACGTCACACGCTGATTACATACTCCGCGTCTCCCCCACGCCGTCGTCAGCTCCGCGCCTGTCCACCACCAAACTTCGCGCGCCGCACGCCCACGGCTGCACGAGCTCCCCGCCAACTGAGCTCCAACTGTCCGCTCGCCCGCCATGGATAACTCGCACAATTTCCTTCCGCAGCCTCCGGCCCTGGTCAACCCGCCGCCCCAGATCTTCGGCAGCTACAGTGCTGACGGCTCGCCCATCCAGCCGCAGCTGCCCGCAAACATGTTTGATGATGCCATGATGATGGGCTCGCAGGACGGGAACGACGAGGGCCAAGGGGACCCCAAGAGGAGGCGCATTGCAAGGGTACGCCGCGGGAGAGGACGCGCTGCTTCATACTCTCCTCCAAGCTAATGCCGCCTGCGTAGGCCTGTGACATGTGTCGCAAGAAGAAGATCAAGTGCGATGGCAAGATGCCCTCTTGCACCCACTGCACAAACTACAAGACTGAATGCGTCTTCACCCAAGTCGAGAAGAAGCGCCAACCACCCAAGGGGTGAGCGAACCTGAACCAGCCTTGCTGCCTGACGCTGCTGACATCAACATCCAGCGCCAAATACATCGAAGGACTTGAGAACCGCCTTGGCCGCATGGAGAGCCTGCTTCGCCTGTCCGGGCTCCTTTCCGAGGATGACGACGGCAGGACAGACCTAGGCACGTTAGAAAAGCGTTTGTCGGAAAAGCGCGCGGCGGGCCCAAACACTGGCACAACTTCCTCGCGCGCATCGCATGACGGTGGCTCCACGCAGCAGCGTGACGAGGGCTCGCCCTCGCAGAGAGGGACCCCAGCCCAGGCTGCAGAGCTGTCGAGCCCCCGCAGCCCCGTCACATCTCCCGCACCTTCCCGTCCCGCCAGGAATTCTACCCAGGAACCTCCTCCTAGGAATGAAGAGGAAGTGGAATCGTTGTCGGACATGATGTGCTCGCTCGTGACCAACAATTGTGGCGAGACTCGATACATTGGTCAGTAAATCCTCCCGTGGTGTTGGCGCGCCCAGCATCTAATTGGCATTCAGGGTCTTCATCTGGTTTTTCAATCTTCTCCCCCAAGGGTATCCAGTGGGTCAACGACAAGACCGGCGACACCTCATTCCAGGATATGATCACCAACGCAGCTGTCGATGACAACAAGTGGATACATTGGAAACCTGACATCTTCCGTGACATCTTCTCGCGCCGTGTTTTCAAACCCCTGCCGCCGAAGGAGGAAGCACTTTCACTCTTGAAGGACTACTTTGCCAACTTCAACTGCATGTTCCCGCTTTTCCATGAGCCCACTTTCATGCACCTTGTTGACAAGCACTATTCGGAGGACCCGTATGAAGGCTCTGGCTGGTGGGCGAGTCTCAACGTGGTGTTGGCCATCGCCCACAGACTCCGCGTCATGAGTAACCTGGTGCCGCAGGAAGAAGACCAGAAGGCCTGGGGATACCTCAAGAACGCTCTTGCTGTGCAGACAGAACTGACTATTCGCAACACCGACCTTCTGAGTGTCCAAGCTCTCTTGGGAATGGTACGTGCTATCTCGATTAGGACCTAACCGATAACGCTAATCAAGGGTAGGCTCTTTTCCTTCAAGGTACCCCGAATCCCCAACCGTCATTCTTCCTCGTCGCAGCTGCCATTAGGCTGTCACATAGCATTGGTCTCCACAAGCGTGGTTCGGGATTCAACCTGAATCCCGCCGAGATCGAACAACGGAAACGCGTCTTCTGGATCGCCTACATGCTAGACCGAGAGTGAGTATAATGACGTAATCACCCCCGTAGTGCGTATCTAACGTGTGAAAGCATCTGCCTGCGGTCCGGCCGCCCTCCCATCCAGGATGATGATGACATGAACGTCGAGCTGCCAAGCGAAAATCCTCCGGACAACATCGGCAACATCCCGCTTGCTGATGGTAAGAAGAAGGTCAATCTATTCCGGCTCATGTGCACTTTCGCCGTCATTGAGAGCAAGGTGTATAAAAGCCTGTATTCGGTCAAGGCTTCAAAGCAGTCCGACGGCGAACTGCTCAATACGATAGGCGAACTGGACAGAGAACTTGAGGAGTGGAAAGATGGTATTCCGATCGACTTCCGGCCTGAGCATGAGATCAAGGCATCGCACACTCCACTCATCCTCCACGTGGTGGTTCTCCACTTCGCTTACTACAACTGTTTGACGACCATTCACCGCATGTCTGTTCACCATGGATACTGGACGAGCAGATTGTCAAACTTTGCTATCCAAGGTCTCAACGCCCGGCCGTTGAATCCTAGGGTATTCTCCTCGGCTGCATTGTGTGTCCAAGCTGCCCGTGCCTCTATCAACCTGATCAAGTATATTCCGCAGGGTGATTACGCTTGTGTCTGGTAGGAATCGTGTTCCTATTCACCATGTTCCCGGTGCTGACTTCTTGTAGGCTTATTCTCTACTATCCTGTGTCGTCCCTCGTGACGCTCTTTGCCAATATCCTTCAGAATCCTCAGGATACTCGGACTAAATCTGACCTGAAGTTGATGAATCTCGTCGTCAACTTCCTCTCAACACTTTGCTCCGATGAAGAGAACGGCAGCGTCCGCCGCATGCTCAGTATATGCTCGGAATTCGAACGCATCGCCCGAGTCGTGTTGGAGAAAGCGGACAAGGAATCATCATCGAAACGGAAGAGAAGACAACAAGACGACCAGAACAAGGACGGGCAACAACAGCACGGCGCTCAGAGCATCAATCAGATGCAGCAACAACAACGATCGGATAGCAGGCGCTCCTCATCCCTGACGCCGAGTGTCAATGGCAATGCCGGATCAGGATTCCCTCACTTCACTTCCAACTTTGCAAACCCCGTAAGTGCTCCGCAATGATTGTTTGCTGTTTCTTTATTTTTTTAAAACAGATGGCTGATTGTTGATTGCTCACAGAACTTCAACTTTTCGCCATCGATGCCTCATGCTTCGTTACAACAGGGTTCATGGCTTCCGGATCTATCATCGCCGCAAACGGTGCCCGCCTTCCTACCGCAACAGACATTTCCACATTCACAAACAGGAACGGATGCCTCGGCCAGCAACTCTGGTTTCTCGACGGCAACCGGGGTTCACCCTGCGTCGGAGAGAACGAGCGGACCTACCGCACTTAACGGCGGCCATTTGCATGATTTCGACATGGGCGCAGCCTTCCAGCAGCCATTCGTTCCCCAGGATCTCTGGCAAATGCCAATGACGCTTGAATGGGACTGGGCTGACATGACGGGCTATGGAGGTATAGATGACGGCATGGGAGGAATGAGCATGAGCGGAGTCATAAACATGAACCACCCAACCGGCCAGAACCAGGAAATGCATGATGCCCAGCGTCAATCACCGCACCAAAGAAACGAGACCGTCCCGTCGTAGTGGCGAGGGGAAAAGCGCATTGGAAATGGGTCAGCATCAAAAAGGGACGATTGGTTTCTGGCGTACGCGGGCATTCTGGCTTTTGAGCATTTCGGCGTGGATGGCTGGTGTGGCATCGAAGGTGTACAGCAAGCTCCCCGTTCACTGGCCTTTTCAACTGTTTGATTTCTTTAATCTTTCATCTTTGTTTGAGATATCGGTCACACTTCTTTTACGAGGTTTGGCAAGGGGTTTTACGCTTTCTTTCACTGTATTTCTTCCTCAGAGCGTAATGTGATTACGATAATGGCGTCAAATGGCTGCACTAATCTCACCTTTACAACCGATTCTCCAGTCAGATGAACTAGACAAGTGGCTTGCAACCCGAAGATAGCCGGGCTGAATGGTAAACACAAAGTAACTCTACTAATCGCTTTCTGTATTTTGGTGTTGGAAAGAAAGTCTCACGAGACTCACTTCTGCCCTGTAATTTTAGCATAGGATTCCCATCTCATTACAAGAAAACGCCAACCATTTCGTGCAATGTGACCATCTTTGGTCTCACTCAGAATTCTCGTCAAAAACCTATCATCTGTCCTACCACGCCAATGTTCCCCACATAGACTTTGTGAGAGTCCGGCAAGTGTTATCACCACTAAATCTGACAAAAGCCTGCGAGGATGTGTTGTGCGCGTTACAAGCAGACGAGGATGGCACATAGGCGAACTTGCAAGGAAGGCACGACAGGGCGCCAGTAGTGGCAGCCAGGGCTGATGACGAGTGGTGCGGTGGTGACGTAAACGTGAGTGAGATGCTCGCCTTTGCGTGCTACCAAACCCTGGTTCATTTCCTAATCCGTCGTACCTCGGCCCGGCTCCTCACCCCTCCTTCCCCGCGTCTCCACATAATCACCGCCCAGAGGTCCCGAAAAGCCAACGGCACACCTCATCCAAGCCGCAATAATAATAAACAAACAACAAGCAACAGACAAAAGGGACCGTTTCACGACTCCACCCTCAACCAGCCCCCCAACAACCGAAACAAAGTCCTCTTTCCGACCAAAAACCCGCCAAAAAAAAAAGAACTACCGACAGTCTGTCTCATCCACCCAGCCCAAACGGGAAAAAGGGAAAAAAGAGCAAAACAAGCAAGAAAAGAATTGAAAGACCCAACCATGCCCCTCTGCACCCTCCACCTCCTCGCCCTCACCCGCCCAAGCCCAGTCTCCGCCTCCGCCTCCAACCCCACCGACTCCGCCGACTCCGCCGACTCCGACTCCGACCCCGTCCCCCCCTTCCTCACCACCCTCCTCCGCGCCATCAACAACAACAACGAAAAAGAAAAGATCAAACCCCTCACCATCGCCCGCCCCCTCCGCTGGATCGTCACCCCCTCCGCCCCGCCCTCCCGCCACCTCCCCGCCGCCCACCAGTGGGACCTGCTGCTCATCTTGCCCGCGACCGCGACTTCGAGTTCGAGTTCGGCCGCGCAGTTGCCATCACCGCTGCTCGACCCCCGCCTCGTCGCCGCGAGGTGGAGCGTGACGTTCGGCGTGCCGGGGCGGGTGTTGCGCGGGTACGAGGGGCGGAACGAAGGGCTGTTGAGGGGGCCGGCGGCGAACGCGGGCGCGGGGGGTGGGGATGATGTGCCGGCGGTGGAGGAGGCGGCGGCGGCGGCGGCAACAGCGGCAGCGGCGGCGGTGGGGGGAGGAGGAGGAGCTGGTGCTGGTGGTGCTGGAGGAGTAGGGCGGCTGGCGAGCAGCGCGCAGGGGTTGGAGTTGAGCGGGGAGCTGATGGATTGGGTTAGGGAGGTTGGTCGTGGTGGTGGAGGCGGCGGCGGCGCGGTCAGCATGCTCAATCTGCTGGCGTTCAGGGATGGGATGAAGGGGGAGTATTTGAAGTATGGGAAGGCGTTTGCGGAGGATGTGGGGAGGAGGTGGGGGGGTGTGGCGAAGATTGTGGGGACGGTGGTGGAGGATGGTGGGGGGAGGGGGGTGGGCGTTGGGAACGATGGCGGCGGCGGCGGTGGTGAGGAGGGAGAGAAAAGGGTGTGGGATGAGGTTGCGTTGGCGCATTATCCGAGCATCTGGCACTTTGCGGGCATGTTGGCGAGCGAGGATTATCAGGCTGTCAATCAGAGGCACAGGGTGGGGAGCTTGAAGGATACGTTTATTCTGTGCACCACAGAGCTGGGCCTGCCTGGTGGCGATTGTGATGGGAAAGAGGGAAGAGCTGCGGCGAAGCTCTGATGAGGGTGCTGCCCGCCGCGAAGAGCAAGTTTCCATGAGCTTTGGCGACCAAAAAGACGAGCGTCGCGAGTGTCCGGCCGTTGCGGGGTGAATCACGAGAAGGAGTGGTGGTGCGTGGTGCATCGGAATAGAACAAAAACATTCTGCTCGACGTCGGCCACAGTCAGATCCACGGGTAGATTCCAGTATATCCGATCCACTCCTTTTGGACAGCGAACAGAGCATCAGCTTCGATACCGTCGAAGCCCGGCTTCCTGGGGAGCCAAGGGGGGAGATCAAGGGAAGAAACAACGTACCACCGAGCCCAGCCTCTGATCGAAAGCAGACGACGCCCGATATCCTTCCATGAACCAGTTTTTCGTCTTGGTCGGCCATTGCCGCATGTTGACGTTGGGCGTGAGACGGCGCTTGAGCTCCAACGAGCGCAAGCTGGGCATGCTTGTGATCCTTTTGAGGTCCGACATTTTCTTCTTGTCCGGCTGCTTGAGAGGCGGGGAAGAGATGGATGATGGGGTCTGGCTCCTTTTTCTTTCGCTGTTAGCGTCTCGTTGGTATGACGGTGCGGAGTCGGACAGTGGTACCTGGTGTATGCTGGCGTTCCGGTGCAACAGTCGAGCCTCGTTGCCCCCTGTTCTCCTGGATCCCTTTTCTCCGATCGATGTTTCTTCTCTTTCGTATCCGACTGCGACTCCGAGCCTCGTTCGTCTCTCCAGGCTCTGAATCTCTGGGTGATGCGCAGCAACGGTCTTGCTCTTCGCATCAGGAAAAGGCTGGTCTACCCAAAGACTCCTTTCATGCCAGTTCGCGGCGCTGTATCACCTATATCGTATCAGGCCCCCAATAAAGCCCTCAGCAGCCCGCACACCCCCTCGCATGTGCGCTAAAGAAGCTCACATACACGCCATATGCACCGAAAGGACAAAACCAGGTGAGACCTCAGACACCAATCGGTGGGGTCCAAGCTCGAATCGGCATCCAACTCGCTACAACCCATGCTTGTCCAACACTGCTGTGCTCCACTCAGACAATCATGCTCTGAGTTAGCCGCCAAAACGTCAGGAATCGCAACTTTCCGCGCCTATCAGCCGGAGACATGGCATCGGCAGTTTTTGAGTGATGATATAAGCTTATTGAATCCTTCCCCCGCCCACGGAACCGAACAGACCTACCAGTGCTCCCTGAAAGCTTAAAGTGATGTTGGAGATTGCGCTCCGGGCTGTAAATGGACGGGAAATGCCGGCCGCAATAAAGTCTCGTGCCAATTCGTGCGAAGCTTTCGACAGTCAACTCAAACCATGTATCCAGTCGGTAATGGGGGGGCTTGAAGGTAAGATGAGTCGGAAAACCGAAACGAATACGCACATCACATGCCACAAACTCTTCCGCCCTTTGCCATACTTTGAGCTTCTGTTGTTGTCTTCTTTGCCATAGGCCAGCGAAAAGAAAAAGAGAAACAAGTGGAAAGTTTGAATGGTTAGCGAAAACGCAACGTTCCTCTCGATTTCGCCCTGACTTCCGCTCAGGAACAAGCCCCATAAGGGAGAGACACATGTGCTTGGCCGGCTAAATCTGACAGGAGAAGTTGCAGGGTCTAAGTCAAGTGCTGACGAACAACAGCACTACTATTCGCGACGCTTACGTTCCTAGAGTTGATGCAGAAAGACCCCATGTGGCCGATCATGATCGTCGCTTCCTTGATTGCTCACCCATTTGTCAGTGTACGTCTCCTTCAACATTCGTTGGTGGTAGCGCCTCTTCCTACGCGCGCTGACGGAAGACTGGAGCTAAATGTGGACTGCGGGCACCCAATGAGGGGAGGCCAGCACCCGCGAATGATTCTCTGGCTCCACTGAATTGACCTCAACAACGAATGGCCTACCTGTATGCGCACTTCGGCTAGGCGCAGTAGTGTATTTTCACAATATGACAGCTTACAAAAACCAGGGTCGAAAGCGATCAAATGTGAGGTTTAGATGTGGTGAAACGGGATACTGTCCTACCGCGATGAAACATTGAGCGCGACGGCCGAGCGGGTCGCAAAAAGCAAGGGCCTAGCTTCGGTAGGAATGAATCCCGGTACATCTCACCCAGCCACTCAGTAAGCCCTCCCGGTCGATTCCCAGAGCCGTAGAAGTCTCCGTCGGATTTCAAGTGCAATCCGGCCCAGGCGATTGAACCGAGGCCCTTCCTACGGTGGTCGAAGTGTGCGTCGACGAAGGTTACGTCTGGGATGTGCACAGTCTGCGGTAGACTGTTATCAAAAGGCGGAGCATCGAGACCATCAACGTCTGTCTTGACCTGTAATACGGCAGCATGCAGAGCGCCTTTCCCCACGATCGGACATGAGACAGTAAAAAGGAAAAAAAAAGAAAGGGGAGAAGGGAACCAAGACAGACAAAAACGTAGCATTTTCGTGCATGCTATCCATGGGGCAAAAGACAAACACTTGACAGTACCTTGAGTATATCGCTGCTCCAGATGATAGACGTTGAAACTTTCCGAGAAGAAAAAAAAATAAAGATTATCTATAGGAAGTTGAGACTATGAAAGTAGGTCTTGACATACCTTTGGGCCCGTAAATAGCACTGATACTGGTATCGCAACATCTATGCAATCCCTCCCGCAAGCACCTTCCTGTATTCCGGCCCCAGAAGTCTAACAATGTTCTCCACCTCAGGGGCTTCGGGTATCGCTTGGTCAGATTTTGACTCTTTTTGCAACGCTGCGCCTTTCCTCTCGCCGTCGACATCGATCTGAGCTGCTTCCTGGACATCCTTGTTCTTTCCGAACCGTAATGGGCCGTTCGTAGTGGCTGGTGTAATTGGAGTCGATCCCACCAACTCGAGCCATTTTGCGATGTACATTCCCGGGCCGAATTCCGTCCTGGATGAGCAGGAAAGAATTGACTTCATGCGAGCCGCTGAAGACTCGTGGAGGTGGGTGAGGTATTTCGAATGCGCTTCCAAGGCTTTGAGAGACTCGCCGCGCTCTTCCGGTGAGAGCTTACCGAACAGGGAGTTGAGGGTAGAATTCATGGTGCCGGCACCACCAGGCGAATCGCTCGCACCCTGGAATTCGGATGTGAACTTCAAGGCGTACTCACGGAACCACTCGGTGACCTCTGGGCCGTTCTTTGCGATCTGGTGTAGGAAGCGGTGGCATGAACTTTGATGCTTCTTCAAAAGCTTGACGAAATCTTCGACCGTCGGCAGCGGCTGTTGCTTTGGTCTGTCTTTGCTCTTTGACGGCGAAGGGAGCTTCGCGATCTTGATCAAGTCATTTAAGAAATTCTCAAGGTCTGTCAGGCCTGCACTCAAGTCTACTGCATTGTGCACGCCTCGGATGATGGGATCATAAGCGTTGACAAGATCCCGGATAGCTTCAGTGAGGTGATCAGGTTGTTGCCGACAAAGTACCTGGACAAGTTGGTCGCGGTCGCGAATTGATAATTGAGCCTTGAAGTACTCCTGCGCCAGGTGCTGATGCGATTCTGGTAGGTCTGTGGAGAGGTTGTTCTCTTCAAAAATCACGGCGGTTATGGACCTTGGGGTTTCCCCTGCGCCACGCTCAGTACACTTCACAGGCGGAGTTTGGGTTGGGGCGGCATACTGCTTTTTACCCTACGTTTCTCCCTCTCTTCTCTGGTCAACTGCAGGTGCGATTTGATGGCCTCGAGATGTCCATCGCTCGGCCTCTCTTTTTCTTTTAGCTTCTCGATCTTGGTGGCTTGCTTCTGCAATTCGGAAGAGTCCCAGGCAAGGACGGTGGAGATGATGCTGCGATGATTGTTCAGTATGGGAGCATCGGAAATGGGCGATTGCTGGACGTACGACTGAAGTAGATTCTGGCCTTCGTCTGCATTCCTACTAAGGCCTACCCAGTTGGTGAGAGAGCCAACACTGAACTTAGCAAGGACAAGTCTGACCATTCCGTTGATCATGGTGGCGGCGTTGCCCACGCGCAGAGTCTGTCTAATGATGCTATAGGGAATAAGCTTGTGGATGTTAGCAAGGATGCGCAGGAGTGCCTGGCCGTCTGGCGAGGTGACAAGGATGTGGTGCATGATAGAGGCAAGGCTTGCATCATGTCAGCTTCAGGCGAAACAGCAGACCAGGCTTCACGACGTACTTGACGAGGATGAACTCGTGGGCTGCTTGGACCAGGGACGAGTGCTGGTCGATCCTGTCGGTCTCTGCGCACTTGGTAAACAGCTCGTCGATCATGCCGCCGTAGACTAGCTGTTGGAGGAAGGCATCCCAGGCGTGCATCACGTCGTCGGGGCTGGACATGTCATAGTGGCGGCCGGGCTGGACGTCTTTCATGGGAAAGCCGCCCAGGGCGCCCTTTGCAGGATACTCAATCAAGGCGGAAATGGCGGTTGCCAGGGTCTTGCGCAGGCCGACGGAGCCCTTGTCATAGCTCTCGGAAAGGTCTGCAGCGCCGAGTTTCTCGACGATGGTCTGGATGCGCTCCTGCCAGAAGACGTCGGCGACACTGGAGAGACCAGGCAGAGTGAGGGCGAACTTGTTGAGTAGCGACTGCAGGACGGGCGAGGTGCAAGGCTGGGCGTGGTCCTTACGAAAAGGGTGACCATAGCGGTGGATGGCGTCGGGCCATTTGAAATTTTCGATTTCGCCGTAGACCTCCTGGTGGGTCAGGATGTCGAACAGAGCATGGGCCTGGGCGGGCGAGAGCTCTGGGCTGGCGGCCATTTTGGACGATGGTGTTTGGCGGTCATGGTAGCAGCCGGGCAAAGTCGAGCCTTCCGTCCCGCCTGCGCCTGCGCCTGCGCCTGCGCCTGCGCCAACGCCATGACGTTGACACTCCCGGACCCGCTAGGCCCGAACAGGCCTGCCAGGTGGCGCGTGCAGCCACGGCAGCCTGCGTCTGCCTGCGAACTGCGAGCTGCGACTGCCAGCCTGCCTGCTTCTCTGCAACACTCGATACGTCCAAGGCTTATGTAGGCGCTGACAACTGGCCGTCGCATCTTGCCCAGGTGGTATACACTACGGACTACAACAGAGCGAACCCGAAAAGCTCGGCAACGCCCCGCTTCCCGTTTCGCTCGTCCCCCCCCCCCCCCCCCCCCCCCCACCCCCCCCCCCCCCCCCCCCACAGAGCAGATCTCTCCTCCGTCTCCTTGTCTCACCTTTCCATCCCACAAGTCACGCGCCACCGTGTCGATCTTCGCATGCCATGTCCGCCCCTCGGTTGCGCTTCGTTCCGAACCGTTCTGCAATCCACCCCAGTTGATACGCTGACTCAGGCCGACACCCCACTTCGCTCAAACCAACCGTCTCCTGCACTTGACTCTCTGAGCAGCAACACTTCACCGCCGCTGCTCTCGAGCCATGTCCGTCAGCAGAGCGAGCTGTCGAGGAGAGAGCCTGTTCATGGCTTGCCTCACTCAAACAGGCCGAGGAATTGCACACGCTTCAGAGGCCGCCTCACACCAGAAGTTACCCCTGTAGATGGCCTTTTTGGAAAGCAGCAAGTTTGCAGAAGAGCGAGGAGAACAATTGATGCACCAGGTATACTTAAGGTGGGCGGCAAATCGACAAGCGAAGTGCTTGGATCAACAGGGGGATGCGGCGCGTGCGCCGCAAGTCAAGATACGGGGAAGAAGCCGCCGACATCGCTCAGGTCAGCTGGGGCTGGGGGGTCAAGTACAGAGTTCCTGCAGAGAAGGCATCTGCCGTGCGGGATTGAGCGGCGATCAGACCACAACAGGAGAGCTGGAGGCCGATGGATCCACTTCCTCCACAGAGATCTCAATCAAGTGGACCCAAGACCTCTCGACCATCGGCGGGGAACCCAGAGAGGCCCACTGATTACAGTCACGCCGCATGTGGCCGAACGAGTGCGGCTGGGACTGCGTCTCGACTCTCGGGCGTGGGGATGCCCGCATGAGGACCGCACTGGTCCGAGCACAACACCTTCACCTCAACACTCACCATCTGCCATCACCTGATTGGAAAGGAGAAGAAGAAGAAACATGCTGTCTCGCAACGCCGTTGACGCGCGTATGCCTGGAAAGGCAACTCTATGGCGTAAGGCCGACCAACCAAGGCCGCAGGACCGTCGTGTGCGGCTTCCTCCGTATCTAGCGGCCTCTCAACAGCATCCAGTGGCGGCGCGCCTCTACCTTAAAGAAGCTTGGAGAGGACAAGTCGCAATCCGGCTCGGCCAGCTTAGCATTCGGTAACCATCAAGTGGCCACGAGACGGGCCGGCAGCTCTATCACGGCGGCTTCGCGGTCGCCGAACGCCTCGACCCGGCGGGAGAGTACCGATTCGGGATGCCGCCCGTCAGGCCACCACTATTGCATGCTGTCTTCGGTAACCACCCACGAGCGGAACCGTAGTACAATGGCTTGTCCCTCAAGTACTTCGCGCCTCTAACATGTCACTTGCCAAACGCGTCTTCCGACATGCGGCTCGTCCACCAGCTCGTCTCGGCTTCTACGCAGCTTCTAGCGTAGGCGCTAGAAAAACCCAGCCTGCAAATTCTGCTCTCTCCCGCCTCTTTTAGTCTTGCCCTTGATCATTCAGCCGCCTGCAAGCCACACCGGCGACTTCGCCAACACCAAGGAGCCTGTTTCTGCGAAGAACCCCCGGCATTTTCGCCGGCCGCAGCTTAGCTCCAATCAGCATGACTGAATCGACGGTCAACCACATCTGGATGCGCTGACCAGGGCGCCTGGCATGCAAGTCATTTCTAGCCTGCTTCTCGACGGATCCTATTCGGGTACTTGCATTGGGCGGCTCTGCACTCCGCTGCCCCTGGTAGGCTGCTCGCGCATAGCTCATCAATAGCTCGGCTGCAGCTTATCTACAGCTACTGCGACTCGATGCGCGATTATCACAAGCCCGGGGTCTGATGTCTTTGGTGTTGAGGAGAGCCGAAACTTGCACTTGGCAGGTTGACGTGGTGGTCAGGAACATGGTGGCGCTCCATCAAAAGAGCTTGACAGTGAAAAGGGCCGCAAAAGCTCAGCAGGCCGATTCTAGCCAGTGCCCTGCGGCAGTCGAGCGCATCGGAGCACCGCTCGTCAGGGCGTCCAAGTGCCGGCAAGTGTTGAAGGCGCTGTCATGGACAGGTGCCGTAAGTCAGGCACGGCCCTGAGCGGCAACCATGGTTCTGGACTCGGCCAGCTCGTACTGGGCTCTGGTTGGGTGTGGCAAGCCTTCTCCGCGCGCTATGACGACTCCGCACATGCTAAAGTAGTGCGGCTTTGGGACCAGCCGCTACTGCGCTAGCTCGGGCCAGGCCGAAGCGCCGCAAAGCCAGATGGCTCCAGATTGTCTGTCACCCGCCTGTGGGCCGTCGTACCCCATGGGCATCGCCTCTGCGGGCTGGCGCGTGCCCGCTATACATCTGCCGGAAGATGGCTTCTCCAGCTCGACGCTATAAAGCCAGAGCTTCCCCGCCAACCATCAAGTCTCTCAGCATCAAGTCAACTCTCCCTTCCTCACTTCCCCTAATCTCGCTGCCAACACTCGATCAAGATGGCTGGTGGAATCCCCATTTCGACGCAGACCGTGGACGGCTTCTACACCGGTCGCAAGCTCATCTACCCTCTCTCCCTCGTCATCTCCCTCTTCTTCCTCTGTAGGTCCCTCTGGAGCATCGAGCCCTTGGAGTACATGCTAACAAGCACCAGGGGGTTTCTCCTACGGTCTTCTTGATGTCCTCAACAAGCACTTCCAGACGGTGCTTGGCATCACCAAGCTCCAGTCTACCGGTCTCCAGGTCGTGTACTTTGGTGGCGGCTACCTCCTTTTCTCTCCGATTGCCGCAGAGGTCATGAAGCGCAAGGGTTACAAGATCACCATCCTCATGGGCCTCTGCCTCTACTCGATCGGTGCCGTGATGTTTTGGCCGACGGCACACTTCGCCAAGCCTGGCAACGAGACGGCCTCCTTCGGCGGCTTCTGCGCCTGCACTCTCGTCATCGCTTGCGGTCTTGCAACCCTTGAGACGTCGGCCAACTCGTACGCCGTCGTCATCGGCGACCCCGCCACCGCCTCTGCCCGTCTGCAGTTCTGCCAGTCCTGGAACGGTGTTGCCTCCTTCATCGGCCCTCTCATCGCCTCCAAGTTCTTCTTCAGCGGTGCCAACGCCAACAGCCTTACCAACGTGCAGTTCGTCTACCTTGCCGTCGCCTGCGCCGGTGTCGTTGTCGGCATCCTCTTCGCCGTCTCCAAGCTCCCCGAAGTCTCCGAGGAGACGCTCTCGGGCAAGGCTGTGACCGAGAACCTCGCGCAGGATGAGTTTGGCCAGGAGATCGGTGCCGGCCCTCTGTACAAGCAGTACAACATGATCTTCGCCTTCATTGCGCAGTTCTGCTACGTCGGCGCCCAGGTCACCATCGCCTCGTTCTTCATCAACTACGCGACCGAGAACGCGACCTACTCGTCGGCCCAGGCCTCCAACATGCTGTCGTACGCTCTCATCACCTTCACCGTCGGCCGTTTCGTCGCCACCGGTCTCGCCACCATCTTCGCGTCCGACTTCATCATGGTCGTGTACGCGTGCTGCACCATCGCGCTGAACGCCTACATCTGCGCCGGCCACGGCGAGGCGGCGGTCGCCATCCTCATCGTCATCTTCTTCTTCGAGGCGCCCATGTACCCCACCCTCTTCACGCTCGGCACCGCCAACCTCGGCCGCCACACGCGCCGCGGTGCGGGCATCCTCGTCATGGGCGTCTCCGGTGGCGCCATCTTCCCGCCGATCCAGGGCGCCATTGCCGACTCGGCCGGCACCCGCATCTCGTACGTCGTCCCGCTCGTCGGCTTCGTCTACGTCCTGGGCTACGTCACCTTCCACTGGATCCGCCACGGCATGGTCGTCATGCGCCCCAAGAACGTCCTCACCGAGTCCCAGGCCGTGGGCGGCGCTGTCGGCGGTGTCGTTGAGAATGTGCACTACGATGCCGACAAGCTGCAGTCGACCCGTGTTGAGAAGACTGAGGAGAGCATCGCCGTTACCAAGGTCGAGTAGATTTTGGTGAATCGAGTAGTGTAAAGAGAGAAAGAGTTTAAGATACCTTGTTAATAATTTTGGGGGAGTATGGGGAGGGAGGGTTATGATGCGCATACGACTGGATGATACCTTTTTCCTATATTGGATTTTTTTTTTCTCTTGATTATATGAATAGATGATAGATCTACGGCGTAGACTACGGCAATAGATGTCATGGACTTCAACAACAACAACAACATCTCGTTCCCACGGTCGTGATTCTACGCTCCTTAACTCACTCACTCTCTCCCCCACCACCACCCCTCCTCTCCTCCTCTTCTTCTTCCTCCCCCTCCACTTTCCCATCCCTCCGAGCCCTCCTCCTCACGCACACCACCACACCCAGCGCCACCCACAACGCCACCGCCGCCACCGCCGCCGCCAGGTACGCCCACGCCCGCCGCACCGTCCAGGGCTGGCCGGAAAAACCGCCCACGACGACGATCCTGCTCAGGGCCCACCCGGCGAAGGAGACGGACACTGACTGGGTGAGGAGGGGGAGGGAGAGGGAGAGGCGGTCGGGTTTCGATGGATTGTTGATGAGAGCGGTGGGGATGATGGACCAGATGACTGTTTTATTTTGGAGGGGGGGTTTGATTAGTGGGTTGGGTTGGTGAGGGGGGGA